AAACATCACGCATGAATGTGCATCATTTTGAGGAAATAGAGACTATCAAGCTTGATCACATTGGGCCATTGACCAGACAAATCACGAAATTTTTGAAATTGTCCAAGGAGATTTTTCTCGTTCTGCACCGAATAGTGATTATTAATTGCAACAATTAGAGAAAAAGAAAAATAGTAATGATGAGCTTTATGAGATGTCATATGCTTGCGAAATAGAATACAAAACCATGGGTAACAGATTTTTACCCCACGTCCGCCGAACAATCATCTCAGCCAGAAAAATCTCTTTACAGAATAGTCCAGGACCTCCCTGTTTGCGCAAAAACGACTTGATTGTGTTTACAAAATCTTCCACTAGAGACAAATCGATTACCAAATTGTCCAGAGCGATCTCATGCTCACGGTCCAGCACGTAGTGCAAGTATCCCAGCGATTGCAGGTTCATTTGGGAGTAGACGGGAATATCACGAGTGATAATGGACGAGCCGGGCTGGAAAAAAAGGTGTGCAGACCAATGATGATCCACATATTTCGAATATCGATTGCGAGCCAGCTTATAGGCAAACATTCAGCTGTTTGTGAAAAATGTGATGTAAGTGAAACATAGTGGTTCACTATCAATTCGCTGTCATACTAGCCTCCACTATGCACTGATTGAGTCGCTGTCAAATGATCTATTTCAAACTTCCCTCCAGTGGTAGGTTAGCGATGGCAACTGTCAAAGCGACCGACAGAGGTCCGGTTCGAATCTCGCAACTAGTTTATCTGCTGTATTATTTCTGCACCACTGCATATTTGATGAACTAGAAGATGGTTGTAATCAGTAGTATGATTGAACCAACCCATACACTCAAGGAACATGACCAGTTCTGCATCCGATGGTAACCGATAGCTCCTGATCGGTTTGTTTGGAGAAGAATAGTAACAAGCTCGACGGAATATTGTTCAGCGATCTGCGGTTCGCAGCATTTTGAGGTAAGTGTTTAACACGTTTACACGCGTGTTTTATCCGGGAAGGGTTTACTGCGTCAATGTAAACACAATCACAAAATAAGATCTCGGAGTAGCAATTTAAATATAAAGAACAAATGTTAGGCAAGCCATTGTTTTCAGTAATTTATAATCATACAGTTCAAGTGGCAATGAACGAACGGAAAGCAACAGCAGGGCCAAACTTCAAGGCCCCGCCAATAAACAATGTATATATGAACATAAAACTTGGGAATTGCGAGTTGTACATTAGATTGTGTGAAATAGATTGGTGCGTGCGTATGTCTCGGGGGAGGGTATAGGTGTATATATCGCGTTATTAGTTACATGCTCCCGGGGATGGAAGTTGTCTCGTTGCCAGTGTAACTCGATTTCCGGAAATCCGTGTTATGATCTGTTTGTTCGTGTTCTCCGGGAAAACGAAAAGTGTAGATAAACGTTTTGTAACAGGTAGGGCGGAGGTCCGACAGAGATAGTTTAAGCTATGGTGAATGTGCGCATTCTAACTTACTTGGGCCGGTTCAGGGACACCTGATTAGTGATCTGGAGTTCGCACGGTGATCAATGTCCATCAACGGAGCACCTGAGATAGGACGGGAACTCCCCATTGACTTATTTGCACTAACAGGTAGATCCTTTGTCGTTCGGCTGAACTCCATGCCTATTTCAATGGGGCTTTAAACGGTTCTCTACACGAAGTCCTAAGGCACAGGTTGCTTACTACCATGGGTGAATAGAAGGGTATTGGGAAAATTAAACGAAATAAAATTCTGGTAAGTTAGGAATAAATTGTCAGAGAGATTGTTGACCAATGGCGACTCTTGTGTACACCCATTATCCGTGGATTACCAAGCAATTTTTCATCTGGTTATGAATAACGATGATATTCCATTCTAATGATAATCCAAATCAGCAATCGTTTAAGTGGAAAGATATAATTCTTTGCGGAGGTTTTGTCAACACCAAACATTGTGGCCATTGAAAACACTCAAAAGACTTACCGCTATATTGTTTTGGATCAGACGTCGAAGGAGACCTTTGTCATTACCTCGAGGACAGCGGACCGCGAACACTTTGCCGCTGTTCCGTTCAACTCCACAAAGCAAATTCAGACCTTCACGTTTATCGGTTGGACGAAGAAATGAGTCCCACTGTAATTCTATTACGCCTTGCAGAGGTTTGAATTCACGTCGCAGCTCCTAAAATCGAAATAGAACGGAACTGAGACCGACAACAACGTTTTGGATAAACTACTGAACCGAAAGTTCTAGTTTGACTACAAGGAGGAAAATCCAAATATGAGAATCTAATTAGATGAATTAAATGCTGTGGATGTTTGTAAAGGATGTCATAGATGGGCTTCGGATTTGGAATTAACCAGTCAATTTACTTACCGCTGCACAGCTTTTCAACGCTAACCACACGTACCACCGGACAGAGGACAGTGACGTTTCAATTTCTGTGCCCAGAAAGTCAGTCGGATAGCCTACCGACCAGAGATACAAAATCAGCACTATATTTGGATCGGACACGCCAGCTTTGATAAACATGGACCCGTGACGAATGGACAGTTTGCGACCACATCGGCGACAAGCCCACTTGTAAATATGCCGATCAACCATGGCGGTTCGCAGTAACATCGGATTCGGACATTGGGGACAGGCGGTTCGATTACGAATAAGGCGTCGCCTGGCCAACCAGATGACCAGTCGCACGGGTTGGGCAACAAGCGAACAAATATCAAAACATCTCGGAAATCCATCTTGTAACCAGTCCTCCTTTTTCTGGAACGTTTCACGGCAGATTGAAGAGACCCGATCGTATCCACAAAGTGGAATAATCTCTGATTTGCGCGATTCCGGTACTTGATCGTACAAATCCTCTAAACACTGGTCTGAATCGGGGGTCCTAAATGGGTGAGAAATTTCACAAAAGCTGTCATCACGGTGATAGGTGAGCTTGAAAATGACAACTAGATGAAAAGATATTCGGGAAGAAAACTCCACAGTTATAGCATAAAGGTTGATAAAAAAAGGAAAAAACTTGGAAGGGACCAAGCGTGGGCCATGCTAGCACCAAATTCCGTTTATCCTTAAATCAGCAAGGCCCCTGGATCAGCCTAGTTGAACATCTGGAAAACCGGTTGACGTGTGTGCCTAGTCCATTGGATGCGATTCACTGACCCATTCAATCAGACGGCAATTGGCTGCACCGAGGGAGAAAATCACAAAACATTATTCCACACAATGAGAACAGTCCAAACAATCTTCTTTTACATTGGGTACACCCTGGATGGAACTGAAGACAAAAATGGTGGTACCACATTCAATTCACCTGAGGGTCCTGTCGTTTTGGGTAGAAATCTGGAAAATTCTGATGACTTAAGAACGCGGGGTTAAGCAACCATAGTTTTCCTTTGGCCGTCCCTGCTCGATCACTTGAGAGATACCTCTGCAGCGAATTGACGCAGAGAGAGGCATCTGATCTGCCAAAGGCCCGATGGATGAACACGAAGGTGGAACACTTGAGGTTTCCTCTATATGATCTGAGTTCTTTGCATTTCACTCGAGCAGCTAAGTGTCCGCATAGACCGGAAAGCCCCCAATCGAAAAAAACTATTGTCTCCTTCACGTTCCTCTTGCATTCTTTGTTGATTTATGAGTCTCATGGACAACTCGGAATAGCAGATCGATAAAAACGCATCCACCGACACACTGAAAATGTATTATTATCGCCTTGTATGACAACTGTGAAATATTTTCCACAGTTTCTTGGATCACGTTCAGCCTAAGACCATTCCAAAGTCAAATTTTTATTATGGACGATTTAACAAAGCTAAAGCTTATCATGTCCCATAGGATTTTTTATAGAATCCTTTAAATAACTTCACCAATAGAAAATAACAATGTTAATAATATGCATGATCACTCACGGATATTGAAATTTTAAGTGTTCCAATGCTTTATCAAGTTGCGATTTAAATAGTTCAACTGTAGGAGCACACACTAGATCAGACGGGAGAGAACTTCATTCGCCACACACTCTGACTGCAAACGAGTGCTGCCGGCAATTAAGGTGGATGTTCTGGGTCTTCACCTTTATTGAATGTCCTCTGAGGTGATCATGCGGTAGTATTTGGTTCCCCAGAACATAGGAGAAACGAGTCTTATTTCTCATGGAGACAACTCTGCATTTGGAAGCGTTGAACTCGATGTCATTGGCGATTGACCATCGGTGGGCTGCATCGATCGTTTGTTGGAGAGCTATATGACCCTCAGGATGTGTTACAGTTCTCCAGATCGAAGCGTCGTTCGCAAATAGCAGTGTATTAGGCCCAAGGACATGTGGCAGGTCGTTTATAAATGCCAGAAAAAGATGAGGCCCCAGTACGGATCCTTGAGGAACCCCTTGGGCAGCGGTGATAGGCTCCGATAATGAATCACCAACACGAATTGACATGGTTCTTTGTCAGAGAAACTCTTTGATCCAGTCCGTGACCAAAAGTCTTACTCCGTAGGTGTAGAGTTTTCGCAGTAGAATTTGGTGGTTTACTCAATCAAATAAATGCCTCGGAGAAGTCCAAATAAACTATATCCAATGGCTGACCTGCATCGACGGATTTTGTTCACTCATCCCGAGCAAGAAGTAGATTTGTGGTGCACGAACGCTTGTGCTGAGTTGGAGACAAAAGCTCATGCTTCTCCAGATATTCCATCAACAGATCTGCCACAATAGCTTCTATGACTTTCGACAGTATCGGAAGAAGTGTAACAGGGCGCTAGTTGACGGGATTCCTGCGGGAGCCCCATTTTTAAACGGGGGAAATTACCCCTTCCTTCCATGACTGCGGAATTACTGTCTGGTTGAACATCTTTTGGTAAAAAACAGCCAGAGGTTCAGAAATGTTATTGTCTGGCGACATCAGAGTCCGGGGATGCATGTTGTCTGCTACTGGGGATGAATTCTTACACAAAGCTAGTAGTTATGCTCTAACCTTCTCACTGTCAAAAGCCGTGCTATTCAGTGACGGATACAGTATACCGGGTATTTTGCTTGGAATCTGTAATGCTTCGTGTGTCGTGGCAGTGAACACCTGACCGAACTGTTTTTTTTTGAGGAACTCTACTGCATTCCTCGATCAACGAATCATATCAGTTCGTGTTTCTGATTCTGTATCCGGACCCATCAAAGCCACCCGCGGTGTTCCACAAGGGT